CAGGACCAAAGTAGAGATGATCCAGAAAGTATGAAGGCTTCAAAGTCACTCGTAAAACGTTAGTTATCATTTCGGATAACTTAAACTAATGCTATTGTTAAGGCATGGGAGTGGGGAGGGCGTGGGGGGGAGGATTTGAAAAATTATAACAAGAATGAAATATAATCTCATAATGGATGGTTAATGGTTAATGGTTAAAAGCAAAATAAATGTGCTAGACATCTAAGGTCATGTAGCACTATAGTAAATGGTAGTGAAGGGTGGTTGAGTTAGTGATTAGTTGTCAATGTAAAGGGGTTAGATCAAGTGAAAGATATATATGCGTTTGAGGAAGAAAAATAGGTTGTCAAAGCAGAAAGTATATAGTGGATGAGTTATAAGAGGAAAGGATATGACGAATGTCGAGTCTGTGAGAACGGAAACCACGAATATTCTAATGAAGGATAGTTATACTTTCGTTGATTTATGTGATAACGGTTGTAGTACGTGTTGCAGAATTTGAAGGGGAAGGAGCTAGAAGGTGGGATAAGGAATGAGAGGGGGGGGGGTGTTGTATCAGGAAGGGTATTAGGAGGTGGAGGGTCTGGGGAAGGGGATAGTTGTGATATAAGTGGAAGGGGTAGAGGGGATGGTGGGAGGGTTAATGTAGGTGGGACTGGAGTCGGGGGGGATGGGCTGTGCTGGGAGGGGGTAGGAGGATAGGGTGTAGGGAGGATAGGAGTAGAAGGAGGATAGATATCGGCAGTCACTTTGAGTGTGGAGGGAGCGGGAGGTGGATGTGGGGTTTTAGTGTCAGTTTGGGACTCGAGGAATATCTTCAAGAGTTTCTGTAATGGAGTTGGTTGGGGAGTTTTGTGAGATAAAGTATTTCTTGTGAGGGGGGAAGAGAGGACTGGTGTCTCAAGAGTAGGGGCAAAGGAAGGTGGTGGTGATTGTGTGGTAGGGGGAGAGGGGGTTTAACGTTTAGTCTGTCTGCTGCGGGTAGTGCGCGGAGGGAGAGGGGAAGGTGTTAGGGCTGTAGTAGAGATTGGAGTGTCTGGATTTAGGATGGCAAAAGAATTTGACTGGGGAAGGTAGGAGGTAGAAGAGGGGAAGTTAGATGGAGGAGGGGTAGATTTAAGGGAGGGTGTAGGAGCTTGGAAGGCAGGGGGAGTGGTAGAGTGAGCGACATTACAGGAGTAGGGAGTAAGAGAAAAACCTCGTCGACGTGCTTCCTGTCTGGCTTCACGTAGAATGAGTCCAAGTCTGAATCTGAGAGTTGCCACCTCAGACTCAAATTTGTAGGTGCGGCAGCCCCTATAAAATACATTATGGGGGCCGTATACATAGGCGTAGGAGCCAGGGGGGCAGGGGGGGCTGCAGCCCCCCCCCCCCAGTCGGGTAAATGCTGGTTAAATTCGGGCAATTTTGGGCAATGGGCATAGAAATTGGAAATTATCCATTTTGCGAAAAAGATATTGGTAAAAAGTTATATTAATGTACAGGGGCGTAGATAGGAAAATTCATAGAGGGGGCGAGAAATGAAGATATCCCGACAAAAAAAATGACACTAATTCTCATTTTTTATTTTGAACATAACATAAGGCCACTAGAACTAAACGAAACAGAAAACCATCGTTATTCTTCCGACAAGTGCTGAAATTTTCTGACAAAATGGCAGTTTAACCTTATAGGTGGGTTTCCCCCCCACCCCCCACCCCCTCTATCTACGCCACTGGTGGCATTCATCACAAATTTTCTGGCCGGTGAAATTTCTCTTCCTCTTTTACTCGGGCAGAAAATTTGCAGCCCCCCCAAAATTTTAAATGTCCCTACGCCGATGGCCGTGTACAATATACTGTGTACAGGCCATGTGGGAGTTCCCTAGCCACGTATGCATACCCACGCTTGCCGCGCCCCACGCTACCGGTCCCCAAGCGACGCTGCCCTCATCGTCCGGTGGCGTGGGCTGCTCAGATACTTAAGGCCGGCGTGGGACCCCGGTCATTTAAGCCTCCGGGCTAGTACAGTGGTAACGTGTCGGCCTCTCATCCGAGGGGTCGGCGGTTCGCGCCCCGCCCAGGCGCGAGAAGTTGCAATTGTCGCCTGGAGGTTACTGCTGTGGCTGGGCACCACGGTGGGTAAGGACTAAGCTCATCCGAGTCAGCATCTGCTGACACAATGTTAGCGAGTCGACATTAGTCGGCACAGACCGGGCTCCCCCTTAGCCCGGGCGAGGCTCAGCTTCGCATATCGGACTTATCCCCGGTCATCAGAGAGTGTGCCCGCCGCGGTTAGGCCAAGGTCGGCGCCGGTCCGGCTTAGGTCAGAGCTGACCAGTGGGCCTTCCGCTGACCCGCGCGAAACCCAAGACTTGTCTCGTTGTGTTAACCTTACCTCGTGTGCTGAACTCTTAATAATAAAGAGTATTAAGCCACCTAAGCTTTTATTACTGTCCTGTCACCAATGTTTAGAGGTTCAACTATAACCCTTCACAGGCCGCCACAGTTGGCACATGTGTGATTGTGCAGAGCAGTTTGATCGAGTATGGTGAGGCTGGGCATATAGCGGGCATCTGGCTGTGGAACGGCAATGTTTGGCTGGATGTCCTAAACGCCAATAATTTTGGCACTGACGAGGAGGAGGTTGATATGGTCGGACAGGGAGGGATTATCCACCTATGTAAACAATAAAGGGAAGGTCATGTCTACGGAAAGTAATTTTGGCAATGTTAGTGGGGTTCTTACGATGACCTTTGGGAAGAATGGAGTAGCATTGTACTGATATCGCATCATCGTCCGTGAGAGAGAGAGAGAGAGAGAGAGAGAGAGAGAGAGAGAGAGAGAGAGAGAGAGAGAGAGAGAGAGAGAGAGAGAGAGAGAGAGAAAGAGAGAGAGAGAGAGAGAGAGGACATCCAGCATCAGCAGTTATTATAACTAATATCTCAGTATGCACAAAGAGTTTCTTACCTTACCCATATAACATCAGCAGCACACAAAAAGACAATTTCATCCCTGGTAGGCAAATGTACAACCGAGAGTGACAGTCACCAACAATGTCATCACCACTGAGTTTCGAAAAGATATCTAATGGATAACATCTGAACCTCGTACTTTCTGCTTGTTATTAGAGGGGATGTTCCATTTCACCCCATGGGTTGTCCTTCCCAACCTTCCCCTACATGCAAATGGGAAGGGGTATATTCTAGCCTAGTCCACTCTACACCTGTGGGAACAAACTGGCCTAGCATTACTTATACCCCATGTATAAAACGGCGTAGCCTAAAATAACCCCGGGTATATTCTGGGCGGGGAGTATAGTCTGAGGTGTTACACTGATACAAGTACTGTGGGAGGGATGAGACTGGGCAGATATGGGTTTGCCAGTGAAATCAATGAGGGTTGACGTTTTAGTTTGGGATTTGAATGTAACTGTGACAATCTGGGAACTATTGGAGTGTGGCAGAAGGAAAATTTGCCTTCTTGTTTTTGGAGGCATTGTTGTCTGAGTAAAGGGCTGTAGAGGGGATCACAAAAACAGAGTAATCAAAAGATTTGTAGAGGTGGGAGAAGTAGACGAACAGAGCCTAGTGGAAGAGGGTGTGGAGTTGAGAGTAGTAGTACTGTGGAGGAAAGGATAATAAGGCTGCAGAGTAATGATATGGGAAGAGGGGACAGTAGATGAAGAAAGCTGTGGGGGTGGAGAAGCAGAGGCTGTTGGGAAATGAGGAACATTTCCTGGAAGTTGAGTAATGGATGGATGATTTTGAATGAACAGAGGTGATTGTAGCATTGGGGAGAGGGAAGGAGTAGTGTTCAGAATCGTGGTCAAAGGAAAGCCTGGGGTTTGGGAACTGGGGAAATTAAAATCAGTAGAGCTAGTTGATAAAAGGGGAGCCTTATTGCCCCTGAAAGGGGTACAAAATCTTTGTTACCGACTCCCCTAGGCCATTACTGACCGGCACAAAGTTAGCATTTCATCCTTTAAAAATAGAAGTGCATGGTAGAAGGGGAAGAGAAGGAAAAGGGGAGGGATAGTTAGCATTTCACCTTTAAAAAAATGGAAGTGGATAGTAGAAGGGATTGGAGAAGAGAAGGAAAAGGAGAGGGAATGTAGAGGAGACCGTGCAAAATTAGCTGAGTTGAGGCTCAATCTCTGTCTCGTACTATATTATTGACTAGCCCCCAACAACAGCAACAGGCATGGGATTAGAGGATTAATGTTGTGAGCTATCCTCTCCTATACATCTTTGGTAACAATAGTTAATCAACTCTTAACAAAAAACATATTTACTCTGCTTGCTTTTTTTCTAATTTAAATTATATCTGCTTTTAGATGTATATGTAAATAAAAGCATTTTTTCACTGGTGATAAAGTATTAGGAATCTAAAAATAAATGGATGTTCACTCACTATTCATTAATAAGCTTTTCTTCCTTTAAAAATAGTTGCTTCACTGAAGAATGACCATAGAGAAAACTAGGTAATGTTCATTAATTTTGAACAATAGGGTGGTACATCCTTGAAGATTCCTGATAATGCCAGTTAGTACTTGTAGCAAATCCAATATATATAAAGAATATTTTGCATATTGATACTACCTATAAAAATGAAGCACAAATGAACTTGTGAATACATGATGTATGGATTCACCTGAAATTGTGACTTCTTGGAGGAAAGTATGTAGAAACTCAGAGTACATCATGTAATACTGGCTAGTCTCAAGTCTTTATTATGGGTTGGAGCATACATTAAAATCATGTATTGAAGCATCTGATATCATGATATATTATTTTCAGAGTTTAGCTCACAAATCCCTGTAGGGCTTGTATACATGTATAAATAAAGTTTGAGCAAATTATGTTATGTGGTATTTATTTGTTGAGATGATGAGACCATCCCATAATGATCTCCCTACCATTTCAGTCAATTCATATTTTGTGGTTACATGGATCAGAAAAAGCACCTAACCCTAAGCAGTAAGAACATTTAGAGCTCCAGCATGGCAACAAACCAAGAGAA